CCCCAAAACCCCAAAACCCCAAAACCCCATGTGAATAAGATAAGTAAGATGATAGAAATTTGAGAAAAAAATCTAATTCAGTTAAATTAGTATCTCGTCAAAATTACAATTTTGCATTAGTTGACCGATTTTCCTATGATTTTTGAAATTTTAATTTGTCTACATATCGTTTTATACCCAACAGCAAGCTAGACAGCAAACGCTGACTATGGTGCAGGTTTAAATTCAGGCTAAAATACTAAAAATATGCTATTATAGTTTGAAAGAATAAACTATAGCTCGCTGTTTAAATATGATGTAAGGATTCAGATCATTCGACCACGTAAATAATATAATCTATAGAAAAATAAAGCTATTACTCAGATGGAGAAAACCTAGCCAAGTTCTACACCTCTTTGCAATCCAGTCATCGGAATACTAACACAACCAGTTAGTGCTGGAAATAGACAAAACTCCGAGTTCGATCAATACATTTTGGACGTTAACAGAGAGTTTGTGGAATTATCTGGCAGCTGTGCTGTTCCTATCAGATATGATCTCCCAGAAAATGAACTACTAGATTTGCTTGCAAAGATCAACGGAGTATTATTTACTGGAGGAGCTTTAGTTTTAATTAACAGAAAAACAAAAGAATAGAGTCAGTACTACAAAACTGCTAAGTTCATCTTTAACTATTGTCTTGAAAGGAAGGATAAATACAATGAGCACTTCCCTATATTTGGAAATTGCTAAGGTTTTTAAGTACTAACCCTCATCGTCGCAAATGATAACATTGACATCTTAGAAAAATTTCCAGCTCTCAGTAATAATCGAAGAGTTAGATGGGCTTTCCCTAATAATGAAGTGAAAAAGGAATCTAAATTTTTTGAGAATTTCAGCTAGGAGTTAATAGACAAAATGGCTAATAATAACCTCGCTTATCATGCTCATTTCTTCGCCATTCATTCTAGATTTTATTAAGAAATAGAATCTCTTAGAAAATTTTTCAAAGTAATTGCAACTGATACTTTGATTTTCGGATTCTCACCGTATACTACTATTATTGAAGCTCATGATTATCCCATATATGCTATACTATTTCATCCTGAATACTAATTACAAAACTATACGGGATGGTTGAGTCTAGCAACAAATAAGAATGAAGACACGATTTAAATCGCTAACTTAATTAGTGAGTTCTACAAATAGGAATCATTGAAAAATGAACATAAATTTGAAAATCAAGAGGAATTTAACAAACTAAGATCAGAAGACGTGTTAGAAAGCTCATATGATTTTTTGAAGAATTTAGTGACAGTCAAAGCAAACAGATATAAGAAGCAAACTTAAACATCTTGATTAATATTTATCTTTCATCTTTAATTTCTTTAAAAAATAAAATATTATGCACTGATGGGGTTTTGGGGTTTTGGGG